TTTACTATAAGCACCTGCAATCTGTGCCAGGCGGGGTGTATGTCAGTCTGATGGGAGAGTACATGTTTGAAGACCCAGAGAGGCACATCTTTAACTATCTCCAGGTCTTCATCTCTGCCAGTGCTTCTGACTCTGGAGAGGTGGAAGCTGTACAGCAAAACAAGTTATCCAGGGAGCTATAGAAACAACTCTGAACTTGAGCAGTACTTCTTGTCCAAAGAAATGAGGAGCAACTGGTGGGACTGCATCATCTTGCATGATGAACAGTGATAGATGAACTTCCCTGTGTTCTGGGTGACCTTTGTGGAGATCTGCACCAAGCTGGCCCCCATTCTTGATCAGCAAGCCTGCAGGATGAGAGTATCCCTGGCCAGGGAAAAGACCATCAGCAGTGCCACCATTGTTTGCTGCCCCTCACATCCTCCAATCCATAGCCAACCAGTTCAGTGCTGGTAAGTTGGCAGTGTGAGATGTGTGCCCGGCAGTCAGATAGGTGCTGGCTCCATGTTTCATCTGCCTTAATGACCTGTGGGAAGTTATAGCTGTTTTTGCCTGTATAGAGGTCCCAAACTGCACCGGGACCATCAATGGCACCCACATAGCTATTCCTTTCCCCTGTGCATCATGCCTGAGAGTTCATCATCTGCAAGCTCTTTTCTTGTTTGTGATGCATAGCATTGTGGACCACCTCAGATGTTTTACACATGTAAATCCCAGCTGGTTGAGCAAGGTCCACAGCGCCAGGGTATTCAGGACCTGGTGCAGTGACTTTGGGTGTTAAGTGCCATGGGTTAAAGGCCTTCCATCCCTTGGTGGGCTTCTCACTTCTCCTTGCCTGGAACCATCTACATTGGAATCAACAACAAGTATCTTGGGACAGGGGGAGGGGAGGCAAGCTCTTGTCCCCACCTGCTATAGTCCTCTGCAAAGTGCTCACTGGGGCATTGGGGCTTCAGAAGGGATTGCTGGTGGGATTTTGGGCTCATAGGCTGCATGTGCAGCAGGTTCTGAGGTGGTGCTGATGTGTCTCTTCTTGCAGGTGAGGATTACTGGTTGTTGACCATTACGACTGGCCACAGGTCCTGCTGCATGCCCCTGGGATTAGGTAGCTGATATAGGTGCTGACTGTACTGAGCTTTGCATAAAGAATCTTTGGTGATCTTCTGGAACAAAGGGAAAGTGTCTTTTTCCTAGTATACTTTCAGCTCACTTTGTCACTGTTCATGGGCCATGTACATCCATAGTTTCTTGTAGGGCAAAAACTTTTGTCTCATGACTAAAACATGACACATGCAATGACTATTCATGCCCTGGCAATATTAAAGACAGAGCACTTTGTTTAAAACCAGATAAGTCTAGAGACTACTGTGTTTAGGACTCTAATTCTAGGAAGCAATCCAAATGTAACAAATAAAACTGTTTTTTTTTAAATATTATGGAACTGATGATTGTATAAGTGATTGTGTGTGTGTTCATTAGGTTAAGTGTCCAAAAAACTAAAACAAAATCTTGAAATGTCTATTAATGGAATAAATTTGTAACGGCATGCTGACAAGGTTCCTTGGGTGAATTTGATATCTTTTATTAGACCAACCCAAATGGTTGGAGAATAGTCATTAAGCAAGCTTTTGAGTTCAAAAACCTTTCGTCAGGCTAAGGAAGTTTCAGTAGTTGGTGTGTGCTCTTCCTGGATGGAATGAAAAGTAAAGAAGCCAGGGGCTCGGCTGGGGAGTCAGTTGCCAGGCAGATTATAATGTATCAAAAATCCAATGTCTATGTTTAGTCCATGATCTCTAGTATCCAGGAGGTTGATGAAATGGAGCTCATAGGCTCATCTCTGGGAAGTGTTGTGTAAGTTTCCCTTGAGGATCAGGACTGAGAGATTGGAGAGAGAGTGGCCCTCCTGTGAGAAATGTGCCCCCACCGGTAACTGGGTATTTCTGTCTTTGATAGATTTCCGGTGTGCGTTCATTCTGGTGCGCAGTTGTTGTTTGGTCTCTCCTACGTATTTTCCATCAGGGCATTTGGCGCATTGGATGAGATATATTACATTTCTGGAGGTTCAGCTGTAAGATCCTGGGATGCTGATGGCTCTGTTGTGGGGTGTAGTAATAGTTGGGGTGGTGGAGATGTGTTGGCAGGTTTTGCATTTCTTGTCATAGCATGGTCTGGATCCTTTTGGTGTGTTCTGGGCTTGAGGAAGTTTGCTTGTGGTGATGAGGTTGGCGAGGTTCGGTGCTTGTTTGAAGGCTAGGATGGGTGGCTCTAGGAAGTGGCTCTTTCAAACGTGCAATCTATCTCTCTGGACGAGTGTCCTTGCTGGGTGAAAGCCGTTTTTAAGATTGGTGAGGTGGCAATCCCGGGTGTTCTCTTCAGTACAAATGCGGTGGTATCTGAGGGCTTGGCTGTTCATTGGAATCCATTAATCCAAGAAAAAGAAAGTTTAATGTGCTGTTGGAGATATTCCTGAATGGCTCTAAAGGAGTTTAGAGCCAGACAGATCCTACAGAACAAAGGGTGGACAGATTCTTGCTTTGGTTTCTAATTTGAACTAAAACAACCATTTCCACAACCAGAACAACTGCTTTTCCAGCTGGCTGTGGTAAAACAGCTGTGTGCGCTAAGTCAGCCTGCACCATTTCCAAAGAGTGCTGGCTGAGAACTATGTGCACAATGCTGGGCTCTGAACTAGCTGTTATGACTCAGAAAAGAGACCTTGGAATCATTATAGACAGTTCTCTAAAGAAGTTAGCTGAATGTGCTGTAGTGACCAAAAAAGCCAATAACATTTCAGACATCATTAAGAAGGGAATTGAAAACAAAATGGAAAACATCATGCCACTATAGAAATCCATGATTCACCCACATTTTGAATATTGTGTGTAGTTTGATCTCAGCATCTCAAGAAGGATATAGTATAATTAGAAAAGGTACAGAGAAAGGCAATCAAGATGATGAAGGGTATGGAACAGCTGTCATGCCAAAAGAGATATAAAAATGTTTCAGGGATGTAGGTTGTAGCCGTATTGGTCTAAGGACATAAGCAGAAAAGGTTCTTTGGGTGAATCTGATATCTTTTATTAGACCAACTTAAATAGTTGGAAAAAAAATTTTAAGCAAGCTTTCGGGTTCAAAACCCTTCATCAGGCTAAGGAAGTTTCAGCAGTTGGTGTGCGCTCTTCCTGGATAGAATGAAAATCCAAAGAAGATATCAGATTCACCCAAAGAACCTTGTCTGCCTATAAAAATGTCAGGACTTTTCAGTTTGGAAAAGAGAAGGCTGAGAGGTAATATTATAGAGGTCTACAAAATCAAAGGTGTCAGCAAAGTCAATGGGAACTGTTTTTCACCAGGTCCCAGAATACCAGAATTATGGGGTACCCACTGAAATTTGCAGAAGACAGATTTACAGCTAAAAGAGAGAGTGTTTTTTTTTTAATGCAGTGCATAGTTAATGTGTGGAAATCATTGCCACAGGCAGTTGTAGAAGCAGATAGTATAGTCAGTTCAAAAATGAACTAGACAAATTAATGAATAGGTATTAAACAGAAAGGTCAGGGATGTGTCTCTAAGCCAATGATGACAGAAAAACGGCAGTGGTAGCAATGCGGGGGCAATGACCCCCTTCGGGCCCCGGTGCTGCCTGGTGCAGTCCACGGCAGTGCTGGTCCCTACTTGCTGCCCCGCTCCAGGAAAGAGACTCGTGCTCCGTGGATACCAGGACAGGGGCTGCAGCCTCCGTCAAGGTCCTGCCCCCTCACTGCTCCAGTGGCAGGGTCAAGGGCCTGGCCAGAGGCTGGCTGGCAGGGCCCCTTGGGCACAGGGGCAGGGAGGTGGGCTATTCCCCCCTCCCTCCAGCGGCTGGTGGGGGCGGCTTTTCCTGCCACTTGCCCCACGTACAGAGCAAGTGGAGGCGGGGTGGTCATGGCAGGCAGACCTAGCTGCAGTCTCCTGGGGGCAGTGGGAGCTGAGGGGGGAATAACCCCCTCCCTGTCCCCTCTGCCTCAGGGTCTATGCTGGCTGGTGTTTCAGTGTGCCTCTGGTCCTGCTGCTGCAGCAGTGAGCAATGAGCTCAACGTGGACCCTGGCCTGGGTCCGTGCTGGTGGGACAGGGAGGGGGGAATTCAACCCCCTCCCTGGCCAGTTCAGTTCAAGCTACTGCTGGGGCTGGCCACACCCCCAACACTGGAGCAGCCAACAGAGACATGCAGGTCTGCGCTGGTGGGACAGGAGAGGGAAACGGGGTGGGCAAGGCGGAGAATAAACCTCTTCCTTGCCCCCTTCCTGGGGCCAGTGTCTGGGCAGGCCCCCACCCCTGTCTCCCTTTTCCAGCTAGGGATCAGAGGGACGGGGCCAGTGCTGCTCTGCTGGAGCAGAGAGCTCAGCCCAGAGAGTATACTGGGATGCTGGGGGACTCCCATTTAACTTAAACCAGGAATGGGCCTGGGACAGACATTGCATAAACCAGTTTGAGCTCAATCAGGTAAGCCTGATACTACATTTAACCAGGTTTATCTCAAACTGGTTTCGGCCATTTTGAAACTGGCTTATGTGCACTGAACTTATGTTTTGTTATAGGTTGAAACCAGTTTCTGATCACTTAAACTGGTTTATGTGTAATGTCTGTCCCTAGCCCAGGTCATGGAAGATTGTACTGCTGCTGTAAGTGCTCTAACTGCTGTTTAGCTAAAATATTAGAGGCTTCATCATTCCTGAAGAAATTTCACTGATTTAAAAAACATACGGTTAGCTTCCTCTATATAGTACTCCGCTATTTTAACACAATGTCTTGTAATTGTTACTTTATAGGCAAATAATAAACTGAAGGGTATGTTTATGGAGGATAAAAGGAAGGACAAAAGACAATTGCAAAACAAAATGCTGAAGGGCAAGAAGGAAAAACATTAAAATAAGTGTATTCAAAAACTAAAACTTTAGTCAGCCATTTGTCCTGCACATGTTTAGGTTAAGATGCAAGTTTATTTCCTTCATCTTGACAGGCGGCAGAAGAGCAAGAAAAAGAGAAGGAAAAGGATAAAGGGAAAGTTAAACCTCCAGGCAAGAAGGACAAGTCTCCCAGTGCCAAGTCTGCTGGAAAAGGAGGAAAGGGAAAAAAACTTGAAACAGCACCAGCATCAACAAGCATTATTAAAAAGGACACAAAGTTAAGACAGCGGGGAGAAGATGAGGAGGATGAAAAATACATTGGTATGTAAGAAATGCAGGTATATTGCTGAACAAGTCACGCACAAAACACGTATGCATTAGGAAATGTCATTGTTAATTCAGGGCTTCAATTTGTAAAGACTGTTAGTCAAGACAGAAGATGCATTAGGATTACTATACTGGACATGAAAAGGGCTTTATACTTCAGACTTGAAATTACATAAATAGGATACATTTTAGAGTCCAAAAAACAGAATCCTAAAGATTCATATAAAGTATGACCAAATTAAAATATAGTACAGATAAAACCAATATAAAGCTACAAAATAAATCCTTTTCACCCTTTCATGTAGATTTCAAAGGAGCTAGTTACATTTATCACTATATCCAAGGGGGCAACTTCTCTTTGTGTTATTAAACATCACAAACCTCTGCATCATTACTTGGGAATGAAGCCAGATTCTGCACAAAGAGCCATATGTTTTCATTTGTTGTAAAAAATGTGTGGAAAGCACTAAGTTCTGAAGAAATCTATTTAAAAAATGAGCTGCACAAGTTAATGAATAATGTACTAGCTAGTTCTGAGAAAAATCTTATTTCTAATACATAGTGGACATGACTATAAACCTCCACTGAAGCCAAAAATATTGGGGAAGATGAATAGCTCTTTATCACTGACTGGTAGTGTACTTAGCATGGGAATATGGCATGAAAATTTAAGCCCTCTCCTCTTTGCTGTAGAGGAGAAGCTGTTAAATGCCTCACGCTCTTGTAGTCATTCAATGAATTTTAGTTAAAGCACCCCTGCAGCCATTTTGAAATGCAGGGGTGCTTAATACATGTGATGCTGTAGCAGTGCTAGAGTGTTCTAACTAGAACACATCAGACTCATGTATAGACTGCCCAAGTTGCCAAATCCTGGAGAAAAACAAGAAGCAGAGTCCAAGTCAGGGTTTTGGAGTATGCTGGCCAGAGTATGCTGGGTTTTGGAGTCAGGTACCAAGTTACCCAAGCTGAGCAAAGTTCCCAAAAAGCCAGAGTCCAGAAGCAGAGCCAAGCATGGTCAGAAACCAGAAAACCTAAAGCGCAAGCTACAGAGAGGTTTACCACAGCAGACCTTCAGGGAGAACTGTAGGCTGGTCTGTGGTTGGCTGCCACAAGTGGACTTGAATGGGGAGGCTGCTCTCAGCAGCCAATCAGGAGACCTTTTTAAGAGTGGCCAGCTGGTGCATCAGCCAGGGTGGAGCTGCTGGATAGAACCTCTGGCAGGTTTGGCCAGCTGACTAATTCATCTGTGCTGGGCTGCCAGTTAGGGTCCCTGAGAGATGCAACCCTCTCTACAGGTATCATCTAGAAGTAATGGCATGTGTTGATATACATAAAGAAAGTATCAAATGAATGTCCTTGAGGAACCAGAGTTAAGGTTGTGGATAAAAGCCACACCAGGGTGTGTTACAGCTGCCCTCACGGCATGGTCCTGCTACCTTACTCTGTCAAAGGAGGAAATCAGGTTTATTTGGTATGACTTGTTCTTAGTAAATACATGCTTGGTGCTTGTGAGAAGCTGTTCCTCTTCCAGATGCTTGCAAATGGACTTCCTTAGGATATGTTCCAGTAACTTCCCGGGTATTGAGGTGAGGCTAACTGGTCTGTAATTACCTGGGTCTTCCTTTTTGTTTGTTTTTTTTAAAGAGGGGCATGACACTGGCCCTTTTCCAGATGTCTGGTATCTCGCCCATTTCCCACAACTTCATAAATATCGTTGCCAAGGGCTCCAAGATACCCTCTACCTGTTCATTCAGTACCCTGGGGTGAAGTTCCTCAGGTCCTACCAATTTAAATTCATTCAGATCCATCAGAAGCTCTCTGAGGGCATGTCCAGATGTGCGTGGATGTTTGGTTCCCTAGGGACAAGTAGCAGCAGTGCACCTTGTGCTACCACTACTAGTCCCAGGGAATGCCTGCACCATGCGTGCTTTGGTATATAGCAAGTTGCCCTGGGTAGGGTAGGGAAGGCTGGGGCCAGCACTGGGCTGGCCCCGGCAGCCTTAACCTGGGATCCTGGGGACCTCTCAGGACTGCAACCACGGTGATTCTGCCACACAGAGCCTGGCCAGCACTGGAGCACGGCTTCAGGCAGCCCAGCTCCGTTTTTCAGCAGCGCACATTGCCTGACCGTGTGTTGCACTGTGGGGGTGGGTTCAATGGGGTTATTTTTTGTTTGTTTGGTTTTTTTTTACCCCTGGACGTCCAGGGGTCAAAAAAAAACCCAGCACAGCGCATGCTCAGGCAGTGCAGAAAACACGGTTGTGTGGTATGTGGTGCTGCAGACGTGTTTGTGGTATCACATACCACATTACAGCACTTGCCTGGACATGCCCTGACTGTCTTTTGTTATGTCATCCCTTACTTTATCTGTTTCCTTATCCAAACAATCCTGTTAGCTGTTTAGTTACAGCCTAATTTTTTTGTGAAGACAAAGTAGCTGTTGAGTAGTTCTGCCTTCTTTGCATCTTCTGATACAAGTTCACCCTGGCTATTTAACAGTGGACCCACATTTTCCTTAGTCTTTCTTTTCTGGCCAGCATACTCATAGAATCTCTTCTTGTTGTCTTTAACCTCCCTCACCAGGTACAACTCATTCTTTACTTTTGCCTTCCTGATTTTGTCCTTTCAGTTTCTTGCTATTTTCTGTTATGCTTCCTTAGTGACCTGCCCATTTTTCCATTGCTTTTATTATGCTTTCCTTTTGCATTTGAGGCATCCTAGAAGCTCCTTGTGCAACCACGTTGGTCTCTTGCTATTCTTGTGCTTCCATTGTGTGAGAACAGTATTTAGTTGGGCCTCCAATACTGTGCCCTTTAGTAGCTTCCAGACATCCTGGGTACATTTATCCTTCAGTCTGTCTTCCCATGGCACCATGCCTATTAACTCCTTGAATCTCCTAGCATTTGCTCAGATTTGTCGAGTTTAATATATCTGCTTTTCAGTATTCCTAGCATAACATTGCAGCTAGCTCTGCAATCTGTGTTAAATCAGATTTGTCACTGATATAATAACATTCTTACAAATATGGCAGTTGAACAAATATGGCAGTCTTCTTCTGCAGTGCACATACAATGAGGGTTCATGGATCTTCTAAAATCACACTGCAGACATCTTTCACTTCACTGGAATTCATGTATAATCACTGCATGTATCTTTGTTTTTTCTTCATGTACCAATGCCTGAGCTATCACAAGAAGTAGTTATGTTTTCCATATCCCTTAAAACTATTATACATAGACTGTTCAGTTTTCCATCTGCCTTTCCTGTTACTTTTTATTGTCTATATACTGGATCATGATGTTTCCATTCCTAGTCAATCTGTCTCCAGACTCCTGAGCTCTTTTAGGTTGTATACTTATTTTGTACTAGTAGTTGTCATTTTGATCCTTTACCTACAGAGTTCAGGTTACCTTGCTATTTGGAAGCATTTCATAGAACCATAGAAAATTAGGGTTGGAAGGGACTTCAGGATATCATCTAGAAACCCCCCTGATCAAAGCAGGACCAACTCCAACTATATCATTCCAGCCAAACTATATCATCTCAGCCAATCCATTCTTTATAGTTAATGCTGTTCCTCTCAACAGTGTGTTCTGTAATTTGGAATCATGGGGCGCTTGTACACATAACAAAATTTGCCCTTTCTACGTTCCAGCATCATTACAGTTTGCATGTGCGGGTTTTCCTGATGTTTTAACAGTCTTCCTGGTGCATTAAAATAAAAGTCATCCAGACAGTTTAGTTTGGATCACCACAAATTAAAACATTGTATCCATGGGTTTATCAGTGCAAACAAAAATGCAGTCAAAGACATGTAATGAACCCCTTTGTCCACCAGATGTTTTGAATTGCAGATGCGGGGGAAGAGGTTGGCTACCCTGTTTCGATAACTGGTTGTAGTGTGTTTCTTCAGATGCCAGGTGCTACACACTGTGGCAGAGCACTTTGAGGGGCCCTTTGGGTCCCTGCCACTTTAAGGGCTTGAGCAGGCAGCAGAGCAGCCTATGGGTAACTGCAGTGACCTTTTGGGGGGGGTCACATGGCCATCAGGAGGCTGCCTGATTGGAGAAGGGTCTGGCTGCTAGAGAATAAGAGCAGATCCTAAGCAGTAGAGTAGGCAGTTGCTGCAGGGAGCCGAAGGAACAACAATTCCCAGCCAGAGTACTGCTGCTCCCAGAACACCTGGAGGTCAAGGGTAGGAACTATGTGGATGGAGGAGGTTCCTGGTCCTAGGGCATGACCTGAAACTGCACCTTGCTGGGGAGGATGGTGTGGTGAGACAGCTTGTGGCAGGGAAGTCCTTAGGAAATGCCACACCTGTGCCTCCCCAGTGAAAGGTGAGGATGGGGTGCCAGAAAGCCGCAGCCCCCACTGCCTTGTGGGTACCCCATGGAGGGGAAAGGCTAGGGGAATCCACCCCAACAGGAAACCACAGGGTCTTAGTCTAATGACTGGGGCCTGAGGCAGGGACCAGGGACATTGAGTGGGGCCTGAGGCAGGGTCTAGGCATGTTGACAGACACCTGAGTTCTGAGTGGACCCTAGGCTGAGTTAGGGGCCCAGGTACATCAATAGACACCTGAGGCCCAAGGGACATAAGGCCCAGAAACCCCAGTGAGGGGGCGGGGTAGTGGCCCCAGTGAGGGGGTGGAGTGGAGTAGGAACTGGTGGCTGTGTACAGTAGGGCCTAAGGGGGCCTAAAGGACTGCACATGGGCTGACTGGAGAAGCTGGAGTTGAGGCCCCGGTGAGGGGGGGTGAAGCCCTGTCACGTCTAAGGACACATGAGGCCAAGGTAGGCCAAAGGCTGAGTGCAGCCCAATTTAGGGGGCAGGGGAGTGATAGGTAGTGATTCAGATGCCATCTGCGAGGCATGGGACAGTAAAGGGAAGGTCAGAGCCATGTATTATGCCCTTGGCATCAAGGAGTTAAATGGGCAGCCTCCCACATTTCTCCATCAGTTTATCTAAATACATCAAAGTGTGGTGGGTGAATC